TAAAAAAGAATTCAAAAGAATGAGGCTATGACTGTTGAGACAAAGAGTAAAGTGACCTTCTATATTAATCAAGGTTGAGCATAAAGTTCAGTTGTTTAGTGTTTAGCCACTGAGAATAAATAACCAAGGAGATGCATGAGAGGCTGAAATGAAGTGGTGGGTATGTTTAAAATGTATTTCCAAACTATTCAACCACATTTTGTCATCATCATCGACTCATGGTATATTCTCCATTGGAATAAACTCCATTAGTCTCTTCTGTCCAGCATCCCCTGGTCACTTGGAGATAAATGAAAAAACTAAGAAGTGAGAGGTGGGATAGCTCTTGGGAGGTTCCTTCTAGTGAGAGATGACCTAGTTATTTCAGGAGCTGTCTGGACAGCATCAGTAGATAGAGATGGAATTATGGGTGTGATCCCCTTTCCTCTGTTCTCTTCAAGCTCTGGAGTGCTTAGAACTAAAAGCTGGTGCTTTGTTTCTAAACCCATTCTCTGTAGCTCAAAGGTCAGAGCCTTAACCTCAGCCCTGTCTTGGTCCCCAACTCATTCCTACAACTCTCACCATCTCATCTCCATCCCAGGGGCTCACACCAGCAAGCACACTCTAGGGCATAATGATGGTCATGATGGGGATGATAACGGCTGACAGTACGAGAAAACATTATTCTCAGAACTTTTTTGTGATAAATCTTTTATGACAATACTGTCATATTATTCATCACAACTGTAGTCTGAGTTATGTACTATTATTGTTACTATTTTACATAGGGAGACTGAGACTTGGAGAGATTACTTAATTGGTGTTACAGATTTCAAGCAGCAGAACATCAAACATTTATATAACCGCAAGCCCTTAAATATTGGGGTGTGACTTGAGGTCTTCATCGAGTTCTTGTTGATCTTATTCACTGCTATAGACACTATGTATGTTGAAAGAATGAATGACATAAAATAAAATATATGTTGAGATATCATTAAAAATGGAGATTCCCCAGAGTTTCAATACAATGGAACAAGATGGGTGGATGAGGTGAAAAATGAGATCCTCCTGTTATGTGGGATATAACTTAGCAAATCTGCACAACTTGGATTCACAGGTGTGTGGGTGTGTGTGGGAAGGAGTGTTGACAGGCAAATGTAGTTGTTCTGTTTTGTACTTTGATGCTATCAAAACACCTCAATAACTTCGAATTATTAGCAGATGATTTTTCTGATATTTAAAGTAATAAAACAAGAAGCCATAAAGCTGACTCATCAGTTACTTCATCCTGTCATGACTCTGTTTACTGGAAAAAAAGTTGAGAATAATTATTTTAGGCTTTATTTCAAAAAATAATCACAACTGTGAAATTATCACTGCAATATAAATGAATACATCATCTGCTAGTCCTTTTGATTTATTCTGTGCATCATGCTCTTCTCTACCATATACATTTTCTTAACACTTTTCAGACTTCTTAACATACTTTTTTCTTAAAAAATAGTCTAATTTCCTTTAAATTCATTCCTCATTTTGCTTGTCCTAGTCATCATGAATAAATTGCGTATGTATGAAGATGTCAGTGTATATAGATGAACGTTGTGAATCAGAATACATTAAACTGACACTGTCAGTCTTCTATCAACACTAACCTCACAAGCATAAATTTTCTTTTCTTTCTTTTTTTTTTTAGAAAAAAATCTTGCTACAAAAAAAGCATTCTCAACTGATTATGACTTGTTTTCTGGGGTCATAGTCCAAATAAGTGTCAAAACTTACAACTTAAGAAATGAGAAAAAGTCTTATACTTTAAAAAGTTTCAAGGGAAAAGTGCTTTCTCTTAATACAGGCTAGGTGGGTTCACCCAGCAGTACCACATGAACACTGATATAGAGATAGCACGGGTGTGTCTGCAAAGAATTTTTTATGAAGTTAATCATATATAGCATCAGATTTTATCATAAAATTAGGGGTAGGTTTCCTATATTAAAATTACCCTTAAATATAATAAAAACATTCTGAAGAATTAACTCTGTAAATGGTACTTTAAAACAGCTAAGTAAATATTAATGATATTTAAAATAGGAACACAATATCAATACTAATAATTAGACTTTTTAAATGTCCAATATTGAACACATCAGTGAATTAATATTTTATTCCTTAACTAATGAACAGCCTATTGAGAATAGGATTCACAAAATTTTAATTATATAGAATTTCCACTAATACATCAACTTGTCTTTACTTCAAATCTCAACATTTACATGAGGTGCTACACATGAAGTCCTTTTTTTGTTTGTTTCTTTCTTGTTTTTGGAGTAAAGGTCTCACTATGTTGCCCAGGCTAGTTTGGAACTCTTGGGTTCAAGCCATCCTCCAGCCTTAACCTTCAGGTGTCTGAGACCACATGGGTGCACCATTATGCCCAAATTGCTAAGCATGAAGTTTTAATTGACACAAAGGAAATCAATGCCTGCCAAGGAACAGTGCTCTTACTTTGTCAGGTATTTGAGACACAAGCAAAGGTTATAGATTAAAGGTTTCAGTTTGCTTTCAGAGTTCATTCCCCACAGAGAATTATTTAACAGAATTATGTCCCACTCTGAATCTCCCATCTTCCTCAGAGGACTTGATAACAGGGAGAGAAAGAAAGAAAGCAAGAGGTACACAGAGGTGAAGGGGTGAGACTGAAGCACTTTGAGTTTAGATTTCAGTAACCTGGGAATTGTCAACAATAAGTAAGTCCCCTGACTTTGCAATTTTATTTTTTATTAAACATTAAAACATATTAACATGTAGCTAAACTGATTATACTCCCAAATCTTAAATGTCAGACCATCAGTCTTAGAAATAGACTTATTAGTATGCCTGCTGACTAAAATTTGAGGAGCCATATTCCTCCAGATTATATTTGGAGAATATTGAAATTCATAAAATGATTTGAGAGATCACGGAAATTGCTATACATAATTCATTGGGAAAAGTTTGCCCATCTTAATCTAAATCATTGTTTCTAAAAATGCAGGTCATTGCAGGTCCCCCAAACTTGCTCATTTGAATATATAATCCATATTATCTTTTTTACACTTACAGAAATGCTTTAAAAGCAGTTGATATGAGTTCATTTTTCTCCTGTGCCTCAAGTTATTATAATTACAAAACACTAGACTTTTTTTGTTTCTCTCAAAATCTCCTTTTAATTTATTTGTTCTTTTTTTATACATGACAGTAGAATGCATTTTAACAAATTATATGTATATATGTATTTCAACTTCCCATTCTTCTGATTGTACATTAGGTGGAATTACATTGGCCATGTATTCATATATGGACATAGAAAAGTAATGGTCAAGTCATTATATTAACTTTCCTACTCCCAATCCCCCTTCCTTCCCTTCATTCCCCTTTGTCTAATCCAAAGTACTATTTTTCCCTACCCTGCCCCCTTATTGTGAGTTAGCATCCATATACCAGAGAGAACATTTGGTCTTCGGTTTTTGTTATTGGTTTGTTTCACTTAGCATGATAGTCTCTAGTTCCATCCATTAATTGGCAAATACCTTAATTTTGTTTTTTATTTTTTTAAAGAGAGAGTGAGAGAGGAGAGAGAGAGAGAGAGAGAGAGAATTTTTAATATTTATTTTTAGTTCTCGGCGGACACAACATCTTTGTTGGTATGTGGTGCTGAGGATCGAACCTAGGCCGCATGCACACCAGGTGAGCGCGCTACCGCTTGAGCCACATCTCCAGCCCAATTTTATTTATCTTTATGGCTGAGTACTATTCCATTGTGTGTATACACCACATTTTCTTTATCTGTTCATCTGTTGAAGGATATCTAGGCCAGTTCCATAGTTTAGCTATTGGGAATTTAACTGCTATAAACATTGATTCAAGTAACCCAATTTATTGTTACCAGAAACCAGACATTTTTAAAATGTCTTTTACCAAGACAGTTGACTGCACAAATAATTTTTCAGCTCTGTTATATTTTATTTGCTTACTTGTTTATATTTAGGTTGAACAGTGGGGGCAGTTCTCTCTATATACTTCTTTGCACATGGTACTTTCACTGGTCATAACACTTTTACCCTCATACAGCTACCTTTTGCTGAACTGACCCATTCCTATTGACTATCTTGAATAGTCCAAGGACCACATCAAGAATTCTTACCCATTCCATCCTAAACAATCAGCTGGATATACACCATGTACTAACAAGCAGACAAAGATATGTTTAACAACCTGAGTGTTGCTGAGATACTAGCCACTACAAATAGACAATTAGACATAAGTTGTAAACAACCAGTACCAGTACATGCTGAACGAATATAAACTCTGCTCAAAGCAAGAACTACAATACAGTGTGAAGACAAGCATGGTGCTGTTCTGTAGTTTTCTGTTGACTTTCTCTTCTGGTAACCTATGAGATCATTATTAAAAAGGGCCAATCATACTTACCCTGGAATCCTGTGTCAGCTTTTTTTGCTACTGTGACTAAAAGGCCTGACAAGACCTATTTTAAGGTGGTAAAGTTTATATGGGGCTCACAGTTTCAGAGGTGTCAGTCCATAGATGGCTGGCTCCATAACTCTGGAACTGAGTAGGCTGAACATCATGGAGGAAGTGTGTAGTAGAGGAAAGCAGCTCAGGACTTGGCACCAGGAAGCAGAAAGAGAGTTCCACTCAACAAGAACAAAATATTATAAGAACTCCCAGGGACTCACCTCCTCCAGCCACAATCTGCCGGCCTAAATAGTTACCACCCAGTTAATCCGTACCAGGGGATTAATGCACTGATTAGGCTAAACTCTCATAACCCAATTATTTCACCTCTAAATTTTCTTGCATTGTCTCAGACGTGAGTTTTGAGGGGACACTAATATCTAAACCATAATAACATTGTGTTGTGTGAACTCTTGGTACAAATCAGGCTCCAACAAATATTCTTTGAATTAAGTAAAGGAAATCTATACTGGAAAAACTCAATAAACAAATCACCTCCTATTACTTCACAGCTTTTAACACTGGAAGCCCATGAACAATGAATTCATTTCACTCAACCTTTTGGAACACCACTACTGAAATTTTAAACAAATCCTGGAATAAAGAGTTTGCTTTTGAAGCCCCTAGCATTGTGGATACAGTCATCCTTCCTTCCATGATTGGGATTATCTGTTTAACAGGGCTGGTTGGCAACATTCTCATTGTATTCACAATAGTAAGGTAAGGACTTCTTTTTCTTTTCTTCTGTAATGTGGGGAACACATTCTAAACTCTCTAAATAAATCAAGTGAATCCTTCCCTTGTAGGATTTGCTTAATGAAATCAGGTTTAGGGAATATTTGCTTAAGATAATTAAAGAAGATTCTACAGATATTTTCATCATACATTCAGTAATATCTGAGCTGCTGATCTCAAAACAGTTAAGACCTAGTCCAATGCTTACTGCTGGGTCGGTTAATTTTTAGAGCCAGGAGTTTCAATCTCAAACACATATTAAAATCACCTGGGAAGCTTTTAAAAATCCTAACATGAGGTTTCACCACAAACTCATTAACTCAAAATCTTTGGAGGTGGAGCCCCGACAGGGGTTGAAGTAACAACACAATTATTTTATTTTCCAGAAATAAGCGTTACCCTAAGGTGACCTGTTTTGGCTGAAGGAAGTCCCTTTTCACTCACCTGGGCATCTGAAGATGCAGGGAGCATAGACAGTGAGATGTTCCCCTCTGTGTAGACCATCCCAGTATAGACCTAACTGAGGAACATCTGCTCCCCAGGACCTCCTCCTGCCTCTGCTCCACTGCTCCCTCCTCACTTCAGATCATTTCTTCCTTCCTCTCAAGTTGAGCAAAATGTTTAATGTGGAGAAAAAGAACAGGTTATTTGTTTTCTCTTTTTAATATTTATTTTTTAATTTAGTTGGACACATTATCTTTATTTCAGTTATTTATTTTTATGTGGTGCTGAGGATCAAACCCAGGGTCCCACACGTGTGAGGCAAGCGCTCTACCCCTGAGCCACAATCCCAGCCCCAGGTCATTAGTTTTCTATGGATTTGACAAAATTGGTTTACAATTAATACACATGTGCCCCATCATACTTGATATCTTTGCTGTATTGATTATTTTCACAGTTAAGATTTACTACTTTTAATCAACACAAGATGTCAAATTTTTTGTTGTGTTCTCTGCTTATACTTATAACTGTCAATTTTTAAAATGTTTGCCCTTCTTTGTTATTTAAGGTGTACTGCATAATAGGTATTTTCACATGTGTCCCATCACACTTGATATCTTTACTGTAATGATTATTTTCACAGTTAAGTTTTACTACTTTTAATCAATACAAGATGTTAATTTTTTTAACATATGATACATGATAGATGATAAATTTTTATCATATGCTATATAATAAAAATAATTCACATATTATACTAATAACTGTCATTTTTAAAATGTTTGCCCATATTTTTATGTTATATAAGATGTTCTACATAATGGGTGTTTTTGGCATTAAATTAACCTATATCTATAACAAAGTTTGTTGAGCATGTGAAACTAAAATCCATAGTTGTAAACTCATTTGATCCTCAAAGATGAAGTACCTCTATTATAGCTGTTTGGAGAAAGAGGCTCAGGAGAGTAAATAATTTGCCCAACATCACACAGCTATTAAGTGGCAGTCCTGGCAACTGGACCCAGATGCTATGATGTCACCTTCCAGGCTATTTCCTCCACCCTAACAAAAATAAGTGTTTTATCAAAATTAAAAAGATACTGTTGTATTTTTTTATGAGTGGAAGAATCCTCACAGGACCAATTAACAGCAAGATCAGTTCCCAGGATGACAATGTGAATGATGATCAATAGTAGAAATAGCAAAGAAATGTTACAGCCACATCTGACTCTAAAAAAAAACTTATAGGCTAGCAAAGAAGGTAAGATTTAAACATACGGAATAGTTCAACAATAATACAAAACACTGAAAACAATGGAAAAAAATAAAAGAGAAGGAGTAACAGGAGGAGAAGTTTCAAATAATAAGATCCGGAAAAGAAAATGGCAGTGATGAAATAGTCTTGGAAACTCAAGGAGGCAATAGTGCTGAGTAGAAGGCTAATAGCCAGAGATGTGGGAATGTTTCTAGTCATTCGTATTTGCCTGTTGTACTTGCCACTTTTCCATCTTTCCCTTTCTCCTGCAACTGAAGGAAGAGCAAAGGTGGCATTACAGACCGTAGGAGACTGGGCTGCCTATTGGGAGTCCCTGTGGTATCCGGGGCATACACTTGCAGGAAGAAACTGGAGCCATGGAAGGGAAGCAGCCACCGTTCAAGATGTCAGGAATGGAGTGGAGAGAGAGCACCCTACCTCCTCCTCTGCTCCTACCCTTCAGCGTTACCTATTGGCCAACCAGTCAGCAAGGGGGGCTGGGAACAAAGCTCTCAGAAAGGATGGGAAATGGGCTTGAGAACCAGCAGGTGAAGGACCAGCAGAGCAGCCAACATATGTGCTGTTAGTCATATTTAGTGCAAAGTATTTATTGTTATTTCTGACTATGAAAGGTAAGCATGGTTTTAATAAAAAACAATCAGAAACTACAAAGCATAAGAAAATTCATATATCAAATAGATAATCACTGTGACTACTTGACATTATTCCTTCATAATTTTTAAATAGGTATTTAAAATAAATTTGAAGTCATGCTCAATACACAGTCAATATTTTTTGAAATAATATTGTAAGTATTTTCCCATTTCATTAAATATTCTTCCAAACAATGATTTGCAACATCTGTGCCATGTCTTCTGTGCTCTTGTGGAATACCATAATTTATTTTTATCATTCCTCAAATTAGTGAACATTAGATATGGCTACATTAACTATATAGAAAACATGCTAGCCAAAATTATCACATGTCTATGTTTTGTCTTGTTTTTTTTTTTTATTTCAAATGTTTGGGTCATAACAAACAGAAGTCTAATGAAGTCTGACAGCAGAAAATCTGAAGGTAAATTAAACCTAAAAAGAGAATGTAAGTTATATAGATAGAATTTTATAACTTCTATTTAGTCATTTTTAATTTTATATGCTGCTATTTTTCAGTAAAAAAGCAATCATAAATATATTGTCTTATTTATATTGCTTCAGATTTCTTTGTGCTATATATAATATTGTTTATAAGCACTTTTACTTTATTTTTTTAATTACCACTTAATGATCTGCACAATAGAATTACCATATTCATTATCAGCAAATGATATGTACCTAACTAAAGGAGAACAAGGGCCATAGGTCTGGTTACCACAACTAGGAACTAAACAACCACTCATGATTTACACCCAAATTCAAATGCAAATAATATAATTTAAACACTAGGATTTACAACTGTTTTTCAGTGTGGAATTCTTTCTACCTGACCCATAATGTCTGTCCCTTTCCCTGTCCCCTCTCAATGTCCTTCTACCAATGACCTGGAGAAGACAAGAGGTAAAAGACCAAGGACAGTCACTTCCTGCCCTTTTGGTTGACATGATCCTTTCCTCAAAGAGAGGAAAAATAAGCATGTTTCACCTTTTCTCTCTTGGTCATTTTGATGTTAGCCACCAGCCTCCCGTGGCAAAGAGCCATCCTATTCTAGTGGCATCAGCAATGACTAGAGTGTGGCTTCTGAGTTAGGACTCAATGTCAGTAATTTCCTCATACAGTGTATATTACCAAGATCTGGGCAAAATATGGCCTCTCCCTGTGTGATGTTTCACACAATTTGACAGTTTAGAAATAAAGTTCACAGTCTACAGAATTTGCAACCAGTGAATAATAAAGGCATACACTGGCTTCCAAACAGCAGGGTAATAACTTTGGATCTGAAGTTAACTAGCAATTATGGCATGCATGGTCTTAGGGCTCATTCTTATGTGTTTTTTTTTTCCTGTTCTGGAGATCAAACCTAGGCCATTATACATGGTAGGCAAGTGCTGTAGTGCTGAGCTGCATCCCTAGCATTTGTCCTCAATTCAAATGCTACCTCTGCCAAGAAACCGGCCTTGATCCCTCCTTAGTGCTCTTTGCACCTGACTCTACCTTATCTTTTCAAATTGTAATGTAATCCATCATTCATTTATACATATCTACACTATAAGCTCCTCAGTGACCAAGTTTATAAATGTAGTTTTGTAGGCCCAGAATACAATATTATGCCTGACATATTATTGGCGCTCAGTGAAATGTTTGTTGAATTCGTGAACAGCACCTCCCAGATGAAAATGATATCTATTTTTTGTTGACTGTTCCTTGAAGAGCTGATTTTAAATTTCAACTTCTTCTGTAAGAAGACTTTTTTTACCAACAGGTGAGTATGCTACACCTAGATAGCATTGCATTCATTTCACCCCTCAAAAAGAGGGAATTAGACTCCACCTAATTGGAAGGAATATCAAAGAATTTGTGGATGTACTTTTAAAACATTACAGTTAGTAATCAGATAAATAGTTCAAAATGTTTAAATATACATAAGACTATAGGCATTCCTTGTGCATTTGTGTCCGTTTTCCTTTAACTTTTAAAATTCATTAGGGCAATCAAAATTTTGTGAAAAGTGGCGTAGGTTGAAGAAGTTATACACTTTCAGTGTTCATCCTGAATCTCCTTCCATTTTTTTTTTATTTTTTCAGATCAAGGAAAAAAACAATCCCTGACATTTATATTTGCAACCTGGCTGTGGCTGATTTAGTTCACATTATTGGAATGCCTTTTCTTATTCACCAGTGGGCCCAAGGAGGAGAGTGGGTGTTCGGGGGGCCTCTCTGTACTACCATCACAGCCCTGGACACCTGCAACCAGTTTGCCTGCAGTGCCATCATGACTGTAATGAGTGTGGACAGGTAAGTGAAGAGACTCTGAAATACTTCAGTACAATTCAGAGACACCTGTGCTTCCTCAAGGTCATTCCAATTTAAGCAACATCAATGTTCATTTATAACACCAAAGCTCCTCTTCCTTTGTTTGCTTCATTGTAAGACTGCTGACTTAGGAATATTTTTTTCAACTTTAACGGAAGTCTTTTTTAATGGAAAAATGTAAAACACTAAAATCTCTGTTTTTCTAATCTTTCTTTTTGATCTCAGTTTTATTTGCAATTCACTGCAAGAAAAAAAGATCAAAAAAATCATGAAATATTAGAAACCAAAATGAACTCTCCCGGGCTACCCAACTTTCTTGCAGTAAATCATATTTTCCTGAACTGAGGCCCAGAGTGATTAGGGAATATGCTGGGGGCACATAGAGAGTTAGTGGCAGAACTGAGCATTTAAGTATGTTTCTGGTATGTTCACTGTCTCACACGCATCGTACCACCTAGCAGCAGGCAAACGATCTTTTACACAACACATATGTTTGGTTAATGCAAATGCTGCCATTTTACATCACAAAAAAGAAATGTATTCCCCGGTGTCCTGCTAGGGTACTACATACCTTTTCGCCAACCACATAAGCTAATCTCATTTGAGAAGATAATGGTGATGGTGAGTACTTGTGGAGTCAATGACTCCAGTACTTCTGGAGTCCAGTTCAGATGACCCAGGCCATCTGACTTTAGAAATATCAAGTCGTTTGTAATCATCTCACTACTGTCCTCCCTAAGAAGCATGCACGCTAAAATTGTCCTGTATCATCCAGATACCATGACCCCGCACGATATCCAAGCAACTCTCTCCAGATGCAGACATAAAGACAGCAATAATACACACAGCAGCAGTGTGCTGTCTCCAAAACAACACACTCAACATTTGCATCTATCTTTTTCTTCCCACCCCAACTGAGCACACTTGATCCTTCTTGCTCTGATCTACCTTTTCTTTTTCCCTTGCTTCAAATATCTCACATAATTTGTGCATTTACATATGTGTGTGTTGTTTATTGTCTAGCCTCTCTTGCCCCTCCACTGTAGATTCCACAAAGGCAGAGTCTTTGTCCACTAATATATCCCAAATGTTTGTGGCATATAGATGCTCAAAAAATACTGATGAATGAATGAATGAATGTCAGTTCTGAAGAGTGTGTTAATTTCCTTGAGTCCATCCAGGACTTCTTCTTGAGCTCTGCCTCTTTCACCTTTCCAAGTGGGCCTTTTGGGATAGAGAAGTGATAGAAAGTTCTTCAAATAGATTAAACAACAGAATGGTAAGATTCACATAAATCATTTGCTCTGACAAAATGAGTAATGATGGTAACATTTTATGCATTTTTTTGTATCCGGTCACTTTTCATAAAAGAGTTCTCAAAACACAGAGCATGCCTTTCAATTTATAATTAACACCACATTTAAAAAATATTGTACTGTGTAGATCTTGTTATTCAGCAAATGCAACCAATACTGACTATAACTTGAGAAAAGCCCATAGCTTGACAGTGTCAAAACACCAGAGAGAAATCCCTGCACAGGCCAAGCCCACTGTAGAAAAGCAACCTGATACATAAGATTTACCAATGATAATCCCATTCTTGGATAACAATAAAAGCCTCTTTACACCCATATCCTGGATGCAAAAGAATTTGGCTTTTTTTTAAGAGGGAAGTTTGTCCTGTAATTTTCTGTTTCTAATGTTTACAGATGTGTGAGCCTGGCGGGGCGGGGGACAGGGGGTAGATATGCATGCACATGCATTTGTTTTGTACAATTGAATATACCATTTTCTTTCTGTTTTGTTTTAATCAGGATAGACCAGAATGCTAAAATTTTACTTCATAGTTAAGTCATTCTGATTTTTCTTTCTGCTGGCTATCATTCTAGAGGATCAGGTGGCAAGAAACAAATGTTTCCTGGCATTTCTTATAGTTCCAACTCTACTAAATTTATAAAAATTCAATCAAATCTGCCATTTTGTAAAAGAGTGATGGGGTTTTCTTTGTAAGGCCATAACCAAATGTTGTTGCTATCAATATCCTTTATTGTTTTTATATTTAAGTCATTTTAACTGTCACTGTAATATATCATATATTTAAAGTATTTCTAATAACTTTATTTCCATTTCTCTGATTAGTAATAACTACAAGTTTATAGAATATTTAATAGTTGACTCCTACCTCCATACATACAAAAATATAAACATTCAAAATAAAGATATTTGTCTCCTCCAATCATCAAGAAATCAAATAATAATAAATGTTGGCAAGGAAGTGGTGGGAAAGATACACTCATACATGTTGGTGGGACTTCAGATTAGTACATTCACTCTGGAAAGCAGTACAGAGATGTCTCAAAAGACTAGGAATAGAACTACCATATATATAACCCAGCTATCCCACTCCTCAGTATTTATTCTAAAATTACTACGAAAATTTATTACTAAAATCAGCATACTCTAGAGATACAGGCACATTTTTTATAACAGTACAACTAACCATAGGCAAAATATGGAACCAGCCCAGGTGCCCATCCACAAATGAATGGATAAAGCAAATGTGGTATATATTCACAATGGAATTTTACTCAGCCATGAAGAAAAATGAAATTATGGCATTTGTTGGTAAATGGATGGCTCTGGGAACATCATGTTATGTGGAAGACTCAGAAAGTCAAGGGTCAATTTTTTTTTCATGCAGAAGCTATAACAAAGTAAATGGGGAAAAGGAAAGGGCATATCCCACAAAAATAGAGGGAAGATCAGTGGAGTAGAGGAAGAGAATTGAAGGGGCGAGAAGAGGGGCAGGAAAAGGGAGAAAATGCAGAACGAAATTGACAAAATTATGATATGTACATACATAAATATACCACAGTGAATTCCACCTTAACGTATATCTAGAAAGCAGCAATTTAATTAATAAATAAATAGATAAATAAAAAGAAGATCAGTAGAGTAGGGGAAAGGGAATAGGGGGAAGGAGAAAGTAAAGAGGAAGCACTAGGGACTGAAATGGAGCAAATTATATTCCATGCATGTATGATTATATAAAAAGGAACCCCACTGTTATGTATAATTCACTAATAAAAAAAATTTAAAAAAATATTTGCCTCCAGATAAAAGCTACCTAGACTTTTGTTAGTTACTACTTTTGTAAGTAAATTCTTTAGAACATCTAAAGACAGTGAGTAGGAGCTACAATCCCCTATTCATTCAACAAAAATTTCTGATAAGTATGCCAGATACAGAGTATACTGTGGACTTGAACTAGTAATCAAGATTCCTGCCCTCATAGGACTTATGTTCCAGCAGTGAGACAGGCATTAAGTGTAGAATCACTTGGTTGAATGTTTATTTCCACAAAATGATACATCCTAGAAGGAAAAGTAGAGTTCTCCTGTGATGTGCAATGATAGTCATGGGCTCTTGAGTCGAGTGAGTAGTCAGAAAGTCTCCTTTGAGAGAAAAGCACTCAAAGAGAGTAGGAGGAAGTAAACGCAGAGCCCACCAGGCAGTAGAATAGTGTATGCCGGGCCCTGAAAGGGAAAAGAACTTGAATGAAATTGCTCTAATTTGGATCTGGAATGTCCCCCCAAAGTTCCTTGTGTTAAAGGATTGGTCCCTAGATTGGTTCTAGTGGAAGATGGTCTAATCTTTAAGATATGGCGCCTACTAGGAGGTCTTAAGTTATTGGGGATATGTCCTCAAAAAGGGTTGTGGAACTCTGGTCCCTTCCTTTTTCTTTCTCCTCTGGGCCATGAAGTGAGCAATCTCAATATCCTAGGTGCTTTATACCATGATGTGCTGCCTTGCAACAGGCCCAAAGCAATTGAGTCAACCACCCACATATTAGAACCCCTGAAGCCATGAACCCAAATAAACTTTTCTCTTTATAAGTTGGCTATCGTAGATATTTGTTATAGTAACAGAAATCTCAGACCAAAGACAAGAGAGACCCTGGCATAAGTAAGCAGCCCAGGTGGCAGGCAGGCTAGGTGGAGAAAGAGCTTGTGAGTCATAGTAAGGATTCTGAATTTTATCTGAAGTCAACAAAGCCATTGAAGGGTGACCAACAAAAATATTTTTTACATTTGTTTAATTTCTGCTAGTACTACCTTCAACTACTCTCCCAGCCCCAGCAAACTGCTTTTTCAAATGGCCTTCCTTCTGAATTGCAGCTCTTTTTTTTATCCCTTTAGCTTTCACTTAGCTCTGAAAAATTCTTGGGTTTTCTGGAGGACCAAATGTATTTGATATGTCAGGATTTCAAGTTTGATTAATGATCATTCTTTTTTTACCCCCTTGATCTAAACTGGAAGAAAAAAGAAAACCCTTCCCCGTGAAATTGGTCTATTTCCTCCCTCTGGCCTCTAGCCTAAATTCCTGGAGGAATCTGCATTGCCTACACTAGTCAGGCTTGTTCATCCTCACTGTGATTTCTGTGAAGCAAATCTCCAAGAGCTGGGGGGACCTACTGTAAAGCCATCCTGCTGGGGAATTCTCCCATCAGCCCCCATGCTTTCCTCCTTCCTGCCCTCCTTTCCTCATGTCAATCAGTCCTACTGGGAAGAGGATCATTTCCTCCTGAAGGAAATCCTTATTCCAAGACACTGTTTTCCAGAGCCTCCTTTACAAGGAAAGCACCTTTGCAAAGAAAAATTTTGCACTGAGGAATTTTACCATTATCAGTGTATTCGTGAAAGTGACAGCTATTTCAGTGAGTGGTTTATTCAGACTTGCAGGGTCAAGAGTTGTTTTCTCTACAGGTATCAGCAAGCTCTTAAAAAATATAACTTTCTTTTTGCCATGATAGAGGTGTGCTTCAGGGAGGATAATAATACTAATAATTTACTCTTGTCATGAACCATTCATCCTTGGAGCTCAGTGTTTTTATTGATTGTTCCCAAACCCTTCTTAACTGGCTTTGCAGGTACTTGGCCCTTGTCCAACCATTTCGACTAACGAGTTGGAGAACAAGGTACAAGACCATCCACATCAATTTGGGCCTTTGGGCAGCTTCCTTTATTCTGGCGTTGCCTGTCTGGGTCTACTCGAAGGTCATCAAATTTAAAGATGGTGTTGAGAGTTGTGCTTTTGATTTAACATCCCCTGACGATGTACTCTGGTAAGTTGTTAAAACATAAGAAAAATAGAGTTGAATTAAGTTGTGAAGTACTTCATCCTCCTTGTCAACACGTGAGCAGGCTTAAAGAGTGTCCTCGGGGACCCTCTTCTCACCAGTCTCTCTGCTTAATTTTCTCCTTTACACAATCCAGGTGGTAGTTTGATTTGAAAGAGAGGATAACCTTTAGAAAAAGATTTTGAATTTAATCATGTAACCTCAGTAGACACAAATATATTTAAATATGTATTTAAAAATCCATGGGAGCAAACATAGCAGGAACTTAGCAATCAAGGGAGAAGATGAATTTCCAAAAGGCTCTAAGAGGTACCCAGATTTAAACCCCACCAATGAGCAATGTAGTTTGCTTGAATTGTGACACCCATAAAGATTTATTCAAGTTCTAACCCACTGTTCCTGTGAGCATAACCTTATTTGGAAACAGTCCTTGCAGATGTAATTAAGTTAGTCTGAGACTATACTGGGTTAGGGTGATTCTTAAATCCAATGGCTAAGGAGGGGAAAGTTTGAAGAGGCAGAGGCAGAATTTGCAATTAAATGTTTTTGAGCCAAGGAACACCGAGGATTGATAGGAATCACCAGAATCGAGGCAAAAAAAGGCATGGAGCAAATTCTCCTTCATCTTCTCCAAAAGGACCCAGTCATACCAACAACTTCATTTCAGACGTTTGGATTCTAGAACTGTGAAAGAATAAATGTCTATTATTTTAAGACATCCGGATTGTGGTATTTTGTTTCAGAATCCCTGGGAAAGTAATATAACAATTAATCGGCCATTTCTATGTCTTAATTTGAAAAGAAAAAATTAAGTCAAAAATTTTCTACTTAAAACTTTGAACATAACACTAGAGTCTACAACTGAATTTTTTGAGCACATCCTGAGTAGGTATCTTTTATATGTATTCTCTCAAGTCATTCTGGCAGATTCTTTTTCCCACTCCATCAGTTCTCAAGTGGATAAATCATTTCTGCATTATGTAGACGTAGCCTGAGAGAATTAGAAGCCACAAATGCCTTTAAAAAACTGTATGTAACTATAATAAATGCTATAATAAAGTATCATAGATGACTACATAATTTGTAAACAAAAGAAATTTATCTCTCACTGTTCTGGAAGCTGGAAGTCCAAGATCAAGGTGCTATCGTGGTCAGTTGCTAGGTTCTGGTGAGGGCTCTCTTCTGGGTTGCAATTGTCAATCTCTCCTCCTATCCTCACATGCCAACCTCTCCTTCTAACCTCTCCTTATTCCTCAAGGGTCTCTCCTTAAAAGGGCACTGATTACACTTATTACCTACCAAAGACCCCGCTTCTAACACCCCTCCTATCACATTGAGGGTTAGGCTTTCAACACACAAATTTGGAGGGAACATAATATTCAGTCTATAACAAAAATGGTAATATGTACCATTGATTATTTGTTATTTCTCCCACCAGCATTTGTTGCCCTCACAGACATAAAACATCAACCAAATGAAAGGTGAAATGATATTTTAATCACTAGGACTGAGAGTAACACAGTACTACCTCCTTAGAAGGAGAGCACATTCACATAGTGAGCCTCAGGATATGCTCACCTTTTTTTTTAATATTTATTTTTTAGTTGCAGTTGGATACAATATCTTTATTTATTTATTTTTATGTGGTGCTGAGGATCGAACCCAGGGCCTTAGTACGTGCTAGGAGAGCATTCTACCACTGAGCCACAATCCCAGCCCAATACTCACCTTTGATTTTGGTCTGTGTCAAAGAAATAGAAAAAAAAAAAAAAGGTTAGCTTATTTTCACCAACAGCTGTTTCTGCTTCTGCTATTTGTCAGTGGTTATCACAGGGGATGTCCTAAGGGCATAGCCTCTGTCGTTCCCCCTAGAATCAAGTCCTTAAGGTGCACTAAGCCTAAACCTCCTGTGCTATATTCAGGGTCCCTGTGATCCTTGTATTCTCTGACACCTTTCTACCAATCTGGGCCTACTCCTATCACCAAGGCAGATCCTGCCAAGAAAGAGGACACCTGGATCTGTACAACAATGGAGCTGGCATACCTGAGAATTCTCCCTGGAAGACCAGAGAGGAAAGACAGCCTGATTTTACAACAGGGACTTCTCCCCATGGGGAGAAGCTTATTAGCAAAGGCTCTGGAGTCCAACAGCTTGCCTAGGTTCAAATGCCATCTCAGCCACTTATGAGCTGGGTAACCTTGGGCAAGTCCCTTATCCCTTCTGTGCCTCAGTGTTTTTTCTTGTCACATGAGAATGCTAAAGGCATGATACTTAGGATGTTTCACAGATTCAGTGTGTTAAAATATTCAAAGAACTTAGGCCAGTACCTACCGTATAATGCTATCTGCTGTTACCTGATCATGTTAATAGTAAAGATAATGATAATGAATAGCCTCTGTTCTGCTCTCAGTACGGTTGAGCCTGGGCTTGGTTAGAGAATCTTGTCAGTGAACAATGAACAGCAGGACTTCTCTTTGAGAATGTACCCAAAGATTCTTACCTCCTCCCCAGGGACTTTTATCCTGTACCCTAAAAAATCAGGGATTTGTGCCTCATAAGCTACAAAAGTCAATGCCGATTACGGTGAATACAACAGTTATAGTTTTCTCTCTCTCTTTTACAGGTATACACTTTATTTGACAATAACCACGTTCTTTTTTCCTTTACCCTTGATTCTAATGTGCTATATTTTAATTTTATGCTATACTTGGGAGATGTATCAACAAAATAAGGATTCTAGATGGTAAGTATTTGCCTTATTTTCACTTTAATTGTTAAAAGAACAATTCAGATATGCTAAGATATCGTCAACAGGACTTTAAGCAACAACTACTTGAAATACACCACATTTAGACATACACGTATTATTAATATAGGTTTTAAAGGCATGTTCTGAAAATAAGACATGTTCTAAAACAGCTGTTTGAGTATCTTTCAGTGATAAATGTTAAAATCATTGATGTAACTTATAAAAATGTGATTAGAACTCAAGATTCTAAAGAATAATTTTATAGATGTCATCAACATTATTTAATTGGTTTAGTTGCATATTTTACAGTTTTATACATTTATAAATATCTAAGATGCTATGTGCACCCTTTTAATATTTTAACTAGAAAAGGATTTCATTAATACTTGAATTAGAAGAGAAGAGTGTCATTAAGATTAGAGGGAGATTAATTATAAATAAACAAAACCAAAGACTTACCTAATGACAATAAACTCATGAGACTCTTTATTATATTCAATTTGAAATTATACTGACCCGTTCAAATGAATGTCAGTGATTATGCAGCATGTTGGGTAAAAAAATTAAACTTCATCTTTTGTGAAGATTTTGGTGGTTGTTTTTGTTGTTGTTTGGGTTTTTTTTTTTTTTGGTTGTTGTTGTTGTTTTGTTTGTTTTTTGGTTTTTGGAAAGGCAAGATTGCTGGGTTTCCCTGCACACCAAATGTTAATAATGGGAAGACATTTTTAACATTTTTTTTAAAAAAATTCTAATTAATCATACATGACACCAGAATGCATTTCATTTCATTGTACACAAATGGAGCACAACTTTTCATTTCTCTGGTTATACACAATCTAAAGTAGCACCATTTGTGCCATCATACATGTACCTAAGGTAATGATGTCCTTATTCCACCATCTTTCCTACCCCCTCTTCTACCATCCTCCCTTTTGTCCAACCCAAAGTTTCTCCATTCTTCCTATGCCCCCCTCCCCATTATGGATCAGCATCTACTTATCAGAGAGAACATTTGGTCCGTGGTTTTTTGGGCCTGGCTTACTTTGCTTAGCATGATATTCTCCAACTCCATTCATTTACCTGCAAATGCCATAATTTTATTCTCTTTTAATGCTGAGTAATATTTTATTGTGGATATATACCACATTTTCTTTATCCATTCCTCTATTGAAAAGCATTTGGTTGGTTCCACAGTTTAGATATTGTGAATTGAGCTACTATAAATGGCTACATCACTGTAGTATGATGATTTTAAGACTTTTGGGTATAGAACAAAGAAAGAGTGTGTAGCTGAGTCAAATGGTGGTTCCATTCCAAGTTGTCTAAGAAATCTCCATACTGCTTTCCAGAGTGGTTGCACCAATTGCAGTGCCACCAGCAATGTATGTCTGTACATTTTCCCCAACATCCTTGCCAACACTTGTTTGCATTCTTGATAACTGCCATTCTGACTGGAGTGAGATGAGATCTTAGTTTTTATTTGCATTTCTCTAATTGCTAGAATTGTTGAACATTTTTTCATATATTTGTTGATTGATTTTATCTCTTCTTCTGAGAAGTGTCTGTTCAATTACTTTCCATTTATTGATTGGATTATTTGATTTTTTAGTGTTTAGCTTTTTGAGTTCTTTATATATCCTGTAAATTAGTGTTCTTTGTGATATGCATGTTCTATGTGATATGCATGTAATAAAGATGTTCTCCCACTCTGTAGCTCTCTCTTTGCATTACTGTTTCCTTTGCTGAGAAGAGGCCTTTTAGTTTGAATCCATCCCATTTATTGATTCTTGAATTTATTTCTTGTGCTTTAGGAGTCTGGTTAAGGAAGTCAGGACCTACTCTGACAAGATGAAGATTTGGACCTACTTTTTCTTCTATAGGTGCAGGGTCTCTGGTCTAATTCCTAGGTCCTTGATCTGCTTTGAGTTTAGTTTTGTGCATGATGAGGATAGTGATTTAATTTCATTTTGATGCATATGGACTTCCAGTTTACCCAGTGTCATTTGTTGAATATGCTCTCTTTTCTCCAATGTATGTTTTCAGTGCCTTTTTCTAGTATGAGATAACTGCATTTATGTGGGTTAGTCTCTGTGTCTTCTATTCTATACCATTGATCTACATGTCTGTTTTGGTGCCAATACCATGGCATTTTTGTTACTATAGCTCTATAGTACAGTTTAATGTCTGGTATTGTGATGCCTCCTGCTTCACTCTTCTTGCTTAGAATTGCTTTGACTATTCTGAATCTTTTATTTTTTCAAATTAATTTCATGATTGCTTTTTCTATTTCCATGAGGAATGTTGTTGGGATTTTAATTGGAATCTCATTAAATCTGTATAAGACTTTTGGTAGTATGGCCATTTTGACAATGTTAATCCTTCCTATCCAAGAACATGGGAGGTCTTTTCATCTAACAATGAGAAGATTTTTTGAAAAGTATATGTAAGCAATTTAACCCATCAATCAAAATTTGTTACTAACCCTTGGTTTAAGACTTCTTGGATCACAGCATTTTAGCTTAACTTCTTGAAATTCTTTGGAATCTTACAATTTTAAAAGCTAGTCTGTTCCAACAGAAAAGGAAAACAACCACAGATACAGAAAAACAATTAGTTTCTAAATGTGTCACTGGGAATTGTGTTGATAGAATGTCACAAAGGAATCATGTGGAAGGTCAAGATCTGGACCACTGGAGGGGATGTTTGAGTTCTTTTAGAAAAGAGTTTTCCAAATCAGATTAGGTTGCTCTTAACATTTTCCTCAGAAATGCTTAGAGTATCTTATCAAACAAAGATCAGACTGTCCATTTATGCCTCAAAATGCAAGAAATTTTGTTTTGGTGCCTATTCTGATTAAATGCAGAGGAGTCATCATCTTAAAATGATCTTAAGCTTCCTGGCTCTATTTCATATTATTCCCAAGTTTTATTCATCTGCTTTGATCATGTCCCAGAGAAATTACTTATTAAATGTTTAAATGTGACAAAACATGATAAAAGTTTGGAAATTTAAAATATATGTTTGTTAGAATAATTTTTTAAATTACATAAAAGAAGCAAAGGTAGTAAGAGAGTTCCTGTATGCCTCTCACTCAGTCTTCCCTCTGTTGACATCTTACATTAAATGATATATTTGTCAATACAAAAAAAAATGGCAATAGTATGTTATTACCAACTAAACCCTATCCTTATGGGACTTCACCTGTTTTTCCATTAAAGTCCTCTTTCCAAGATTCAATCCAGACTAACAATTGCATTTAGTTGTCATATCTCTCCAGGATCTCTGGTCTGTGGGATTTTCTCATACTTTCCTTGTTTTTCAAGACTTTGACAATCTTAAGAAGTACTGGCCAGATATCCTGTAGAATGTTTTATATTCTGGGGTTTTTTTCTGATACTGTTATCATGATTAGACTATAATTATGAACTTGGGGGAAAAATCATTCCAATATATAAGAAGTCACAGAGGTAGGTTTGCCAATGTTCTCCATTGTAAAATTACTACTTACCCCTTTCTCTGCTCTGTTCATGAGAAATGAGTCCCCAAGCATAGCTCAAATTGAATTGAGTAGGGAGAAATTAGGAATTAAGCTCTATCTCCTGGAAAGGAGATTATCAAAGATATGTAAAGAAGATTTGTCTCTTCTCCTCTCATTTTATTTAAGCATATGTTTCTATCACTATGGACTCAGGTATGCTCATTTCAAACATTGAGTTGTGTCATTCAGTGCTATTTATTTATTTTTTCTCAAAATGATCCAACTTTAGAAACTTTGGTAAGTTTTTAACAGGAATGAAAAATATATATATCTTTGCACAATACTCTGAAGTAGGAATATAAAAATGAGCTTCATATTTCACTACAAAGACATTATGAACTGTCCAGAAAGTTCTAGAGAATTGTTATCCCTTAATTCCTCTGACTGTTCATGCTCTATCTGAATGTCTCTTTGGCAGTTACAATCCCAGTGTCCCAAAGCAGAGAGCAATGAAGCTGACAAAGATGGTGCTGGTACTGGTGGCAGTCTTCATCCTCAGTGCTGCCCCCTACCACGTGATACAGCTGGTGAACTTACAGATAGAGCAGCCCACCATGGCCTTCTACGTAGTCTACTACCTCTCCATCTGCCTCAGCTATGCTGGGAGCAGCATTAACCCTTTTCTCTATATAATGTTGAGTGGAAATTTCCGGAAACGTCTGCCTCAAGTTCCAAGGAGGATGACTCAAAGGGAAATCAACAATATTTAAACTATACTGAAATCAAGCTTTTAGGGGCATACTTGGATCATCAAGAGCCTAAATAGGTTTGTCTATGATATCATAATCCGTTTGAATCAAATGTATGAAATATGATATGTCAAGAGCTTTGTAATGTTTTGAACAACTAATAAAAAAATAAAGAAAAAAAAAGGACAGGGAAATTGGGGTGCTGGTACCCACCTTCTTCTTGTGTACTTAGCCTCATGAAACGGCAGTGTAGCCATTTGATGCAATGAGTTTAATATGCTCAGTTTAGCAAGATATAAGTGTTGATTTGTTTGGGAGCTTGGGGAGTGGGATATATGAATACCCAAGCTCTGTGGTTATGTATGTTATTTCACATGTCATAAACCAGTCACTGATAAAAATGGCCATCCATGACCATCAGCTCCAACCTCACCAAGGACCTGGCCTTACCATTTACACTATAAGTGGGTTTCTACACTGTGGAATTACTACCGATGCTTTTCTCTGTTCTGTTCATAGGAAGTGAGTCCCTAAGCATAGCCCAACCTCAAAGGAGTAGTGGGAAATTTGGAAATTAAGCTTTATTTCCTGGAAAAGGGAGTATCAGCAGATTAGTAAAGAAGGTTTTTCTCCTTTTCCCTCAGGCAGATATTTATTAGAGTCCCTGCAGCCCCTGGCAGGGGACCATCTTACAGTAAGGTCTGAAATCTGGTCATTTGGTAATATCTTTAGAAATGTCAGCTTCATATGGGCCAATCCAATACCTTCAATAACTAGGCTCTACCTTTATCATCTATCGCCTACATGCAATGTTTAATATTTTATTTGACAAAACTATGAGGTACCATTACTTGGGGAAGGTTGTAGTAAACCTAGTGCTGAACAGCTACCTAAGAACTGGACTGAATCCAGGTCTCTTGTTTGAGTTTTCTGCGCAGCGTCTTGACAAACAGTCCTTATGGTGGAAAGAGCCAGTAACCTGGAGTTTCTTCTGCTTTCTCCAACAGACCCACAAGAAGTCAAGTCTGAAAGTGAACTGATAGTTTAAGTATATTATTTTGAATTTAGCTTTGTTCTCATAGCTGCTAATTGTAAAAACCAGCATTTTAATAATAGTCCTTCGCTTCAAGCCATTAAATATCATTAGGAAGTGTTCCCATTTAGGTTTAACTATGTGTTTATTTAAGGTACAAAAAGAATTAGCCCTCAAACTCATAATATTCATTATAGCTATCTTTTCCTCTTTTAGTGTGTATAAAACTTGCCTTTTGATACAATTAGGAAGGAAAGAATGCTTTTAAAGCCTGTCTTTTCAACAAAGGCAAATGTGATTTTGTTTGTGGATAAAATCTGTAACTTGCCTCCTTTGTCTAGAGCCATAAAATTGTTCACTCTGTGGACATTTGATTTTTAATCAGCCCATTTTAGAAAATGTGTCACAGATACCAGCTTTTAAATGAACTTATCTCCATTTTTAATCTCTCAGTTGTATTTGAAACACATGAATTTTAACCCAGTGTTAACTTAATGGTCAAATCTTTGACTAAAGATCTTTTGGGCACTATTTTGGAATAATGTAATAGTTGAATGCACACCTGTATCAATAGCCATGTGCAACTTACAAATAGGTCAGATCCGAGACATTTGAGTTCTGCAGTGGGGGTATGGGGGGCTGCACACAGAGGTTGCTCCTTTATGATTTCAATCAAAAGCTGTGTCATGACTTCGATTTCAGGGGTCTTCATTTTCACTTTTATAAGGTGCAACAGTCTGGATTCAGTGAATAACCCTGAAATATGCCCACCCAACAGTGTGGGTCAGAATCAGATGTTTCTTTTCATTGCCTATTTAGTACAGAAAATATTATAAATTTAAAGATTTAAATGGTTTTAAACCAACAGACATTTTTCTAATAGTATTTGCAACAGTACTCAAATAATTATAAAATATAAATGGGCCAGTGAATTATTTTAATTTATATCCATTAAAAGTTGTAAAAAAAAAAACCTAACACTTAGTCAAAGTAGAAAATAAAATGGATAACTATTAAATTCATTTTTGTGCCTTTATATTAGTTTTTCTATGCATAAGCAAATTTCTGTGCAGAGTTACAGAGGTGGTTTGACAGATTCCATATGTATCTTTTATTTTTGTGCATTATGTGTGTACATTGTTTACTTTCAAGTAAAATTAGCAATGATCAGTTCTATTAAAAATTAATCAGTTCTATTAAAAAATTAATACTGAAGCATTTGTCTATAGTAAATCATAATTGTATACCTCCTTTCTGTTTATTCAATTTTAGGTGCCTCATTTGAACTTTGTTCAATAATTAAAATAAATTGATGAGTGAAAATTGCTTGCATATTAATTTATATTTATATTTTCTTATATAGAGGATTTCATGTTTTTAAATATAGTTTCTCTTGAACAACACCAAAGATTTCATATTTAGTAAAATGTGTCTACATATGGCCAATAGTTTGAAGACACTCATCCTACTCTCTTCCTAGAAATGTAAGTCCTTGTATTATTTTTGAAATCTAAGGAATTAATATTTTCATGGGTAATAATATCACAAGGTCACAAAACTTTGCATCTGAAATATACTTAAGATTATCAAATGAGGAAAATGTATCCCAGATAGGTAAAATTACTTCCAACACTGGCCAGCTTTGTGTCCAGATCTGAGGACTAATGGGCATATAGAGCCCAAAAACCACACCCCAGTCCCTCCATGTGGGATCCTGCAAAAAAATTACAATACTAAGATAATTACAATTAAACTTAATGTCCATAATAAAGTCTTCAGTTTAGAGAGAAAATCAAGATTGTTTTATGTTTTACAGGTTATAGAATTAGAATAACTGCATCTTTGTATTTACTTGGATTTCTTGTCAGGATGGCGTACGTTAATTTTACACTCACTACAAAGAGTTCTTCTGACACACCAAAGTCTTCTGACACACCAACAAAGCAAAATACAAAATTTAACAATATTTTCTCTTATTTCTTCAATTTTTTGTTCACAGTTTCATACATCAAGAATTTAGTACATGGGCTGGGTGTGTGTCTCAGTGGTGGAGTGCTTGCTTAGCATGTGTGAGGCACTGGGTTCGATTCTCAGCACAGCATATATATAAATAGAATGAAGTCCATTGACAATTAAAAAAATATCAAAAAATATCAAAAAAAAAAGAAGTTAGTTCATTCCACCAGATCTCCTTGACTTTATAGATAGAAAAGATAGGAGTTGAGGTTTAGCTCAGCGGTGGAGCAGTTGCCTAGCATGCACAAGAGGCTCTGGGTTGGATCCCCAGCACCACCAAAAAGAGAAAAGAAACAAACCAAAAAGTCATTCTTTTTATGGCTAATACTCCATGGTGTGTGTGTGTGTGTGTGTGTGTGTACACATACACACACACACACACACACACCATGGAGTATGTCTATATATATACACACACACATACACACATACCACGTTTTCTTTTTCCATTTATCTACTGAATGGCAGCTAGGTTGGTTCCTTAGCTTTGCTATTGTGAATCACATCATGATGTACATCCATAGGAATGGAACTATAACTAGAATAAGATATATTCCATGCTTGTATAATTGTATCAGAATGGATTCTGCTGTCATGTATAACTAAAAAGAACCAATAAATTAAAAAAGAAAACATAGTCAGAAAAGGGCAGGAAAAAAAAAGAAGAAACAGAAAACAAAAAGTAGTTTTCAAGGCTACCTTCCCTATGAGGTTGAAACAGGGGAAACTCCCTTATTATATTGGTCTTTAGGAAAACTGTCCCATTTTGAAGTTTAGTTTCATTACAAGGCACCTAGAACAAGTGACTGCATTGTGTTCTGTCTGGACTGATGGGACCTAGAGCAGGAGGATTGTACAAAATAGTGGTTTCCCAAAAACTTTGTCAACTGTAATCACATGGGTATACCACAGAACAGTCTGATGGGGAAAACATGGAAGACAAATACCTGTCTTTCAGATTACCAATTACTAATAAATAGATCTAAGTAATTCTAAACACTTAAATAAGTGCCATCAAAATATCTTATGTAGATCTGTTTCCCAAAAATTAACAAAGTTATTTCCAGTAATAATAAATCAGAAATAAGGTTCTCAGTTGTCAGCATTGTATGGAAAGGTCTGGGTTGTTGGTGTGTCAGAAGACTTGACATAAGTTTAGCCTGGTCAATAACTAGATGTCAGATCTTGATAAAACCATTAACCAAACAACTACTTAACCTTGTGATTAGAAAACTGGATCCCACACCATGTAAAGGGATAATCTAATGTCACACAGCTTTTTATTGTCAAAACAAGGCTTGAGGCTCTTTACTGTTAATTCTTACCAGTTTCCATGTCTGTCTCTTTCTCAAAGAAATAGAGCAAGAAACATGAATAACATGCCATGAAGTTTGGTTATAAACACAGCAAGATGTGCTAAAGCTTTGTGTGTTTGTGTGTGTTGTGTTGTGTTGTTCTGTTTGGATTGTTGTTTGGGGGGTTGTTTTTTTATTTTATTTTATTTTGGTGCTTCGCTGAAGCTTTCTACAGAGGGCAGTAGCACTATCAGATCTGCTACAGGAACTAAAGTGTTTGATGGAGATGGACATCGTTACCCCGAGTACATGTACGAAGACATGAATAGTGTGAATATACTTTGTATACAACCAGAGATATGAAAAGTTGTAATATGAATTGTAATGCATTCTGCTGTCATATATAACAAATTAGAATAAAAAAAGAAAAAGAAAAGAATGGGAAGAGCTGAAAAGGCAGACAGAAAGTTATCACAATGGTCCAGATAGAAGGAAATGATGTTTCTGACTAGGACAATAACACAGTTGTATACATTTAGATATGTTTCTTGAGTGCATACAATGTACCAGGAATTGTACATAATCACATATAATCCCAACATCAACTACCAGAATTACCTACTATTGTCATCCTCATTTTATACATGAGGAATCCAGGGCTTGGAAAGGATAAGAAACTTGCTTGAGTTTACAAAACTAGTAAGGTACAAACTCAGGATTCAGACTCAGCCTGATGGGTCTGGGGGTATGGCTCAGTAGTAAGCACTTGCTTAGCATATGTGAGGCCCTGGATTCAATTGCCAGCAACACACACACACACACACACACACACACACACACACTGTGATGCTTTTGGTTACTATACCAGTGCTTCTTAAACTTTGCAATGCCTGCACATCACTTGGGGATATTATTCAAATGCAGATTCTGTTTTAATAGGTCTATGATACAACCTCTGCTTTTTCTGAACATCTGCATTGGTACACAGACCACATGTAAGCATCAAAGAGCTCTGTACAACAGAAATGAAGGAAGAAGGTATTGGGGATATAGCTCAGTTGGTAGAGTGCTTGCCTTGCATGCACAAGGCCCTGGGTTCAATCCCCAGCACCACAAAAAAAAAAAAAAAAAAAAGAGGAAAGGGATAGGCGATATCTTCCAAAATAAATTTGGTTATGCATAATGAGGAAGAGTAGAGAAGAAGAAATGATTCTGAGTCAATGGGGAGGCTCCTGATTGAATAGGAACCCCTTCCCACCCACCCCCAAAAAAACTTCAATCTAGCTTTGTTTTATTGTTATTATTGCTATTGTACTTGGTATTGAAACAAAGAGGATTTTACCACTGAGATAAAAACCCAGCCCTTTTTTGCTTTGTATTTTGAGTCAGGGTCTCACTAAATTATTGAGGCTGGCCTCAAACTTCTGATCCTCCTATCTCAGCGTCTGAGTTTCTGGGATTACAGGCATGCACCACTGCACCTGGCTACAATCCGTATTCATTAGAATTTCTTTCAGTCTAATCCTAAATCAATCTTAAAAACGAAAAAGAGCTGAATCACCTTTGGCAATTATCAAAATAAATATAAGTTAACAGTGTAGATGTCTATTTACTTATTCAACTCTGTTGTTTATTAGCAAAAAAAAGTCTCAGTAATAATTTTCTTGTTTTATAACTTCATTATCAACCCTTTATGGTTTTGTGTCATTATTTAAAATTTGAATTGATGTTGACATAGAAAAGTATAATATAGATTCCAGGAATTAATTGTTGCACATAGAGTATGCAGAAATTGGGATAGGAAAGGGGAGGGAACCACAGGCAAAAAGTCAGCCAACCTGTGTCTTCATCCCTAGATTGCTACTTGCTGCCTTTAGGATATTGAGCAAGTTCTTCAGCGGCTCTAACCCTAAGTTTCCCACCTATAAATTAAGGATCATAATATCACCCACTTCAAAATATTATTGTGAGACATGAACACTTAAACCACCTGGAACTCTAGTTAGATAATACAAATACTCGGTACTTTTAGTATCTTCCTCCTCCTCTTTCTCCTCTTCCTCCTTATCTTCACTGTTGTCATCATCACTTCAAAATACTTGATTGAAAAGCATAGCCATGGTATATTGCAATTCCCATTAAGTAGAGGATATTTCCACATCTTAAATCTAGGCCTCCTTGTAACTTCCTTTGAATAATAGATTGTGGCAGAAGTGACATTGCATATAATTGCAAAGAGGTCTTGCAGCTTCTTTTACCCCTTAGATCCCATGCATGAGGCACCATGTAAGAAAGCCCATCTACCCTATAGGAGGTTGAGAAGTCACATGGATGAGGCATTCAAGATGGTGGCCAACACCAACTGTGAGACGTGAGTGAAACCATCTGGACATTAGGGTCAAACTATCTGTCCAGCATTTGCAATCATGTGGGTGACACAGGGGTAACGAACAGAAGAACCATCCAAAAAATCCACACATTGTGAAAAATAATAAACCATTTTTAACTATAAACTCTAGGGTAACTTTTTCATATCAATAGATAACTGAAATAGCATATATAAAAAAATTAGTAAGATAATCTTTGGCAATGAGAAAAAAATTGCGAGTCTTATGTTATTATTCTTACTTTGAACTTTAACTCATTCCTCCATTCACTCTATAAATATTTGTTAAGTATTTATAAATGTTATTATAAGTATTTATAATACTTCTCTATTTATAGAATGTTATTTATTTGTTAGCAGAATATTTGTAGAATGAGCATAGAATATCAGTAACTTTCAGATGTAGACTGGAAAACAACATTTTCTTGCCCTTACAGAGTTTAAATGCTGATTTAAAATACTAACACATGAATAAACCCATTATTATTGATTGTGGTAGTTGCCTATAGGAAAGGATAACACAGATGAACCTTAGCTATATTGAGTAGTCTTTTGTCAGTGTTTAGACATAGAACAGCTGTGAAATAAATTGTCTCCCAATGATTTTATTCTAAAAGAAGATATCATATCAAACACAAAATGTTTAAAGTATGAGGAAACTGTTGTTCTAGCTCTTTCCCATTTAAAAAGAAGTAGATATAAATAAACTGCCTACAGAGATGAGGAAAACAGATGGATTTAAAAATTCAAGCTCACACTGAATATAATTAACTTGGACATGGAGAGAAGCAAATGACGCCTGAGATCATAGGTGCCCAAGAGACAGGCAAAGGGCTAACTTATTTTTAACACCACAGTCATCTCAGCAGTAAGGAAAATTCAAACTCGATTAAAGTCTCTGAAGAGGTGAAAGAGCAAATGAAGAGAGAGAAAAAATGTGACTATTGGAGAGTAATTAACATTTTGACATAGTTGCCAGCCTTGAGTAGGTGTTTACTGCTTATTAACAGAGCTTGGGTTTTCCAGGTCACTGCAAATGAGAAGGTCTTGTGAAAGCACTCTGGGCATGTTTACTATTTGATTCTGAAATGGGTACACCTGAAGATTCAAGTAGGCTTTGGCAAAGCACTTCTTCAGCAGGAATGCAGGGCTGCCTTCTGCACAGAGTGGCCTTGTTTGCAAATTCACACAGAGCATTCTGGGAGAATTAGGTCCGATAATAGCAAGATGGGCCTTAGCCATCAGATAAAGGACAATTTGGGGCTTGTTGACAGGGCTTCAAGCTTGTCCCAGGCCATGGAGATTTGGGGCATGTCCCAGGCTACTGGGATTGAGATTTAAATACAGCTTGGTATACAAAGCCTTCCACACCTGGATCACAGTGACCATTCTATGTTATTCACCCTACAATTTGGCGAATCCTACCCATGGAGTATACGGTCACAAATCCGTTTTCTTATGCGTATTCCTGCTACTTAGAATGCCCTTTGACTCACCTAACAAATTTATGTTATTAGAACAATCTAAATATTATTTCCTTCCTCTCTCATCCCCAAACAAGACAAGTTAATCATCCCTTGTTAGTATTTAGAAAATACTTATGGCTTCCTCTATTATAACATAACCAGTAATCAGTGCACTTGTCTTACCTACTACACTGTAAGTTCCTTGAAGGATGTATAAACTCCAGAATGTATATGATTCATTTTGTTTTCTATAGTGCCTAAGTATCTATCACATAATAGGTTTTCAGAAAATATGTAAGTGATTAAATGAATGAATGAAAAGAAGAGAGACAAATTCCAAAGGGCACCAGGGCATCTCAGTGTGTGTGTGTGTGTGTGTGTGTGTGTGTGTG